AACCTCGCCAAAGAGATAAGCTTTGAATGCACTCCTCTGTCTCGATAAACATTCGTCTCTGAAGTTGTGATGGTCCGTACAGGCCATTACAAACTAGAGCATTTGCTCACAATATTTAATAAATAACTTGTATCGTGTATGTGTCCAGGCACCGTCACGAAACAGACGCAGACACAATAGAGGACTTTAAATATACTCAACCAGATCAGATGGGATTTGCATTGATTAGAGAGACGAATGGAACACGTCAGGAAAACCACCGGCTCGGTTAGGGGCGACAGGACCGTACTCGCCCTATATGTACCGGTAACGATTAGATGGCGTTACTGTTCTATTCAAACATACATTACACAATACAATAAATGATGCTAGGATGTACTTATATTTTTATTGAATATTTACTTACTACAAATATTCACTAGTTTTTTGACATTTGTCCCTTTACGGGGCAAAAACTTTATCTTCGTGAATTTTGTTAAAAAACAATTACTTCGGAATTTGCTCTTAGACAACTCCTTGAATCTTTGTTCGCTCTATGGTCAATTATCTTCCTTATACCCATTGGGCTAGCCCTGCCCTGTTACACACACCGAAGGGAATAAAGTGGGCGGTCTATTTAACTTTTAAAGTAGTTAGCTCTACTCCTTTACAATTTAAAACTTCTGATGTCGGGCAGGTAACGCGCGAGGATAGCAGGTGCAAGGGAAGGCGTATATATTTTACTTCTACATGAGCGTTTTGTATATATTCATGTCGACTACAGGTCTTGAACGCAGCAGCCCACTAAGTCTGTTTAAAATTTATATCTTACAAAAGTTTCAGTTGTATTCCTTTAGTGTGCTACTCTCTCATTTACCGTGGATTGAAACATTTATCTTTCATAAGATGTCTCAATAAAGTAAAGTCGACGTTTTTGTATTTCTCTAGGCCACAAATCAAAAAGGGTATTCCTTAGATTAAATCACTACATATTATAAAACGAAGTCCTCCGCCGCGTCTGTCTGTCTGTCTGCTCGCGATAAACTCAAAAATACTGCACCGATTTTCATGCTGTTTTCACCAGTGGTTCTCGAGGAAGGTTTTAGTATATAATTTGTTTTTGTATACATTAACAATATTTGTTGGAGGTGTCGGAAAAAATAAGCCGTTTGGGAGCATTCAACGAAAACGCTGCCTAAACCCTTTGAGATATAACAAAATAATGTATGGTGGAATTGTGTATCTTATATATGCCTACAGAAAAGTCCGCGATGGCATATGTCTATCTCTTAAAGATAACATACTATATCCATTTTAATACTTTAAAAAAATGGGCAATTATAAAGCGGTAACTGGAAAGCTATTTATACAAATACGGTATTAATCCTTATCATTTTAAATAAGTTAGAGGCTTTAAGCATTTCATGCACATTATTTTACTCTTTTACACCATATAATTTAAATCTCTTAGGAGTAATCGCAAAAAAATTACGGACGCGAGATTAAAATTCAAGCGCCTCGCTTCGCTTGGTGCGATCGCCGACCCTCCCCCCGCACCGTCTTGCCTACTGTTTAGCTATTAAGCCGAACGATAACGCGCGCGTGATCCTTTAATAAACCGACTTGGAGCGAATGGAGGTGACTACTGACGACTGTGTTTTCTTTCTGGGTGTTGTTGGAAAGTTATAATTGCGTTCGATATTTTAAGGTCACATTTTTGTTTTGTATTTGTTGCCTTTAGGTAGTCGGAACATACATAGATATTTGCAAACATACTTTTATTTCATTGAGCTTTAATAATTTGTTTGTTTTTTTCTTATTGTGAATCATTTAAAACTTCATAGTCGCATTTTTGTTTCTTGTATGTTTTCTTTTTAGGTAGTTAGATACCTAACTACTTACTTATTAATTAAAATTGATCGTCCTGAACATAGGTACTTTAATTTAATTCGTTTTGTCTTCACATTGTTGGTAGTTAACTATATTGTTTTAAATTTAAAAGTTTTGCATTTTTAGTTTTTAGTTCGTTTGTTGTCTTTAGGTATACAGATATATCGTGAATTATTTTAAAATTAATATTAGGGTCGCATTAGATGAAAGATGCGTCAATTACATTTTTGCTTATCATTTAATTTTTTTTCGTCTCCAAGTGTTTGCGCTAGCTGCCAGTCCTCCCTAGGAATAAACATCTGAAATTACCTCCAAGCGCGATAAATCGCATTTTCAATGGAGGAATAAATTCCCAATGTTTACCGTGCTCTTACATCATACTAACGTCGCGAACTTCGTAAATAAACCCCGGCGGATTCAATGTAACGAACGTAACGATAAGTTCATTCGATTCGAATACTTTCCGCGCCTTTTGAATGCTGAATAGGAGCGTAGGAACAAACAAAGCCGGCTGCGTGTGGCGAGCCGTCGAATATTTCGTCGGAACGGCCCTTATATGCAAATCCGCGTTATCTGCGAACTAAAATCGATGAACTACAGGAGTTATAAATTCAAATTCGTTCTCATTGAATGGGGAGTCCTGGCCGACGCTTTGCGACCGTCTAGGCCGGGGTTATAAACTACTCCACCTAGAAATTGCAACAAAATTTCGGAAAGGCATTTGTACTTTAAAAGTGTGAAAAACGGTCGTTCTGCCGCTAAAACAGTTTGTCTACATTCGCCGTATGTCAATAACGTACCCACCAGTTTGTGATTGTGGGTCGTTGTATGAAATCGCAAATATTTCAAAGGCTGACATGAAGATCCTACTAGGCTGTCTATACAGGGTGTCTCACGTTGACGGCCCATTAGAATTATTTCAGAGACTACTTCGATTCGAATTTTGAAAATTTTGGATACCGGGTTTTCGGGCATGCCCTTCTCAACTAAATTAATGGCGTCCACCTACCACTTTCGGTTATACCGGATGTCGCCATTAATTTACTTATTTTAAATGGAACACCCTATATATTATTGCAATTTTCGATTCTACGTGTTATTCCCTATTCCTAAAATTAACCGTTTTCGAGATATTTAATTTTTTTCAAAAAAATTGAGAGAAACAGTGACTAGCTTCAAACCATGTGTATTTTATAGTAAGAAAGATAAAGCAACAATATTTATAGGAGGGATAGCTAGACCCCTAAAGTTTCCATCCATACCTTCAAAGTGGCTTAATTGCATACAGAAGTTAGTCTCTTACAGTGACAGTTTAATTTAGTGTTTATAAGAAACGGAAAACGATACATATTCAAATGCTGATATTTTATGCAATTAAGCCACTTTGAAGGTATGGATGGAAAGCTTAGGGGTCTAGTTATCCCCCCCTATAAATATTGTTGCTTTATATTTCTTACTATGAAAGACACATGGTTTGAAGCTAGTCACTGTTTCTCTCCATTTTTTTTTTAAATTAAATATCTCGAAAAGGGTTCATTTTAGGAATAGGGAAACTTCATATTTCTAATGGGCCGTCACCGTGAAACACCCTGTATGTGTTGTAACAAAACTTTTGATCTATGTTAAAACGGGATAAAAATTTTACAAATGTTTAAAAATTTAGCCAATCTCAATGTGAGCTATTTTTATACATGATATCAAATTCTTAAAAATCGAACATGTAATCTGTCGGCCGCAAGAAATCTTTAAACAAACAATGCACTTCCCCGATGACGACGGACGGCGTGACAAAATAAAAGAAGCCATTATTTGTAAACATAGCCGTTCTTTTCATATGTACGAAGTCGTTAGCCTTATTACGGTAAACATACGGTCTTGGATAAATACCATGAAATTTTCTCGATAATACCAAACGTCACACAGGACACAGGACCGGCTTCAAAAACATTTGTTGGGCATATTTTCAAAACTAAAATAGAAGCTGAGAAACAAATAATTTCAGTATGAAATTATATGATATAAAAATTGATACAAAGGCTAAGTAATAGAAAAGATGTAATAAAGAATAAGTCCTAAACATTTAATCTGTACACCTTTGACTATTTCGCCTTTCAAGAAGATTACTTTCCTCCTGCAGCAGAAAGAACTGCACGCTCCAGACGGTACTGTCTTTAATACCGTCACAGACGACGTCTAGCACATGTCGACGCGATAACGCAGCTTATAAATAAAATTTACCGTCAAATATTGATCTTATGCAACCGTTTCATGTTCATTGAACTTGACTGGTGGGAACTGACATTTTCCGCGATGTATCCACTTTTTCACACATCACTGGCTTACCCTTTAATAAGTCTGGCTTATATCCTTCGCGGGCACGAAATTCCTAAGGACTGCATCATTAAAATCTATCAATATCGCACAGAGGCATCATCTGCGTATTGTTTTTAATTTTGAGACAGTCTGTCTTGTAACTGCCTTACAGTCCACCTGTTCACCAAATGTGCATGGCAGCGCGATAACAGATGTCGCAGTGTTTGTGATTTTTTACGGGCGTAATTTCTTTTTTTAGTGCGCTTCTCTTAATTTACGACCGGCTCTCGGCTTTTATTTGTATACTAAAATAATTAAGACCGCATAAATCAGACTTTTTGGTCCGTGACGTTAAAAATAATCAGATGGGCGTGCCGCGTTTTTATGGGGACGCATATCTCGGAGGAAATCTTGTTTAATTAATCGCCTTTATTCATGGTCGTTAGCTAATGATGGTGATGGAATTATGTGTATCAAAATATTGACAGTGTGAAATTGGGATGACATGAGGCTCGTAATAGGAAATCTAGACAACGACATCGAAACCCAGTTATTTGAATCCGCTGAAAATGCGTGGTATCTATAGTTTAGCAGAAAATGGTTAAAGTAGAAATGGAGAGTAAAAGCAAATAACTGACTCTCAAAGAGCTGTTGTAGCTACAAGTATGCGCTATACTGGATGTTGACCTGAGGTTGTCTTTCCGTGTTACGTGGGAAAATTTCGAAAAAAAGACGCGTCTCCAATAAAAATCGGACGAAACAATTGACGACCGATCCCTTTATGAATCACTGGGCTATGTTGACCTGTTATCAGCCTCGCAACCTCTTTCAACATTGGTTTTATCAATTTCCAGTTGCTTTTCGCCGCTAGTGAGCAATTATCAATAAAACACTCATTAAACAAATATGAGAGGCAATTAAATTTATCGCAAATTTCCCGTGGAACGGTTTGTGTACAGCGGTGGCTTCGATATTTCTTCTGTGATTAATACGTGAATCATTTTCTTTGTTTCGTTAGCGCTCGACGAAGATACGGTTCTAGTGAGTTTAGTGCATCGAAATTGAACTTTTTCACCTGATTTCAGTTCGGTGGCATCGATCAAGCGGGCTTACAGGGTGAGTTGCTATTTTTATAGACGCGCTAGAGCCTTAGGGTCGATTGCATATGATCACACTAAAGTGTACTATAAAATAAAGTTACCATATTGTTTTGACAGTACTTTAAAGCTCTATTAAATTTAATGAAACCGGTGCTAGATTATGTTTTCATTTGTTGTACGTACATTACTTACCGGTAAGCATTACAAAAAAACATACATTTTTTTTCTTTATAATGTGTATTTCAATTTGAAATATCTTGCTTTCAATTCACGCTATTTTTATGTTATTTTACGTTAATTATTACTTTCAAAAGTCGTTTTTTAGTATTCTTTTATTTGCCAATAATTTCGGTTTCATCAAATTTGACATTATGTAAATATTTTGAAGGATTTTATGCAAAAACTATATTTTATTATATTGATTTAACAATGACAAAGAAAAGCTTTATCCTTCTCTTACATTCTGAAATCCCCTTTTTTTTAAATATATATTTACTAGTCTGATGAACATATATAAATTGCATTAGAGTCTGAACTAATATTTATAATAGTATACGTATAATCTTACTTTCAAGGTCAAATGAAGCTTTTTGTTTTAATTTAGGTAACATTTTTTAATGTGTTTAATGTGTCATTACTGTTATACAATATATTTTTCCCCAGAGGCTAGTAATGTTACATAGTTTTTTTGTGAATCTTCTCACATAATATTTTATAGGAACATATGCACCTCTAACTGTTCAAAATCATATCAGGCTTGTTCATAATTTCAATCCAACGGGCACACATCATAAAAATATATATTTAACAGTAATCACCGACACTCAAGCCAGTTTCTCGACTAAATTCCACTAGGACCGTTTCTACCAACGCCAAATAAGTCGCCACATAATCAGAAACAACCATTAACCCATCCAGATTAATAACAGCATCTCGGCAATCGTGTGTCCAAAACAGGAGACTTAATTTCACAGCATTCGCTTCGGTAGCGATGTACGAACGTTCCTTTTTTAGTCTAAACAATAATTTATCACACATTTCCACACCTTGTACGGTAGGTGTTATTAGAGGGCTACGGAGAGAGTCCTAATGGCGTGAATTGTCGTGGAAGATAGCGAGCGAGGAGCGTCCGAAGACCGTGCGATATTTCCTTGGTTTTGTGTGTGACGGTGCGAGGCGACGGAGATAACAGAAGTCAGTGGGTTACCTTCAATTTATGTGTCGTTCGATCAAGAGCGCGAGCTCTTTTTACCGCGTTGTTTATTGAGGTACTGGCAAATATCTTGTTTTCTTTGCGGGTCTAAAAATAAACGGGATATCTTTGGCCTTTGGACAAACGACAAAGTAAGGTTGGTGTATGTTTATTGTACTAAATTTAAGTGTAAGTATTTTGTGTTGTGTTCAATTTTTGTAGATGCTGAGGGTCAATTCGCGAAGAAATTATAAAATTCCTAGATTTAAAGAAAATGTAGGAGACGTGGCAACGTCGCGCGGTAGGATATTCCGGTGTAAAGCAATACCCGACAGGATTAGGCAAATGCGAAATAACATTTCCCGCGGTTAAGTCAATTGTTTCACGTTGATGCTTCGTTTAGCAATGCCTTTTCTATCTTCTTGTGTATAAAACGGATGCAAATTATTAGGCGGGTTATTTTTTCGCCACGGAATTCTCGGAAGCAACGCGCTAAATCAATAAGAGCGGATCTACGCATTCTAGAATGCCCCTTACTAGCACAATACAGATTACTACTGTTTCATATATTTGATCTTAGGAAATGTTTTCTCTTGCAACAAAAAATAAATGGTGAAAAAAGTTCTAGAAAGAATAATTTAAATCTTGACTGAATTTTGGGACACCCGATATATATCCCTGTTTTATTAATACATCGATTGCTTCATTATGTAAATAATATTAGTAACGTTAATACTTCTGAGAGTACACATATCAGTTACCTAAATTACTATTTCGCGGACGATAAATTAAACAATAGAATATTATTCGGAACTGGATAACGATTATTGACTTTAATTGATAATTAATTTCGCATTATAGTGATAATTACTAATTTTTCCCAATTTAATGATAGCAGTCTACGAGCTTATTTGTGCAAACTGGATTATATATGATTTAGAAGCTTTTACTAGCCATTTGTGAATTTTGACAATAATTGGTACCTACTGGGTAAGAATATAACTTAGTTTTTTTATTACTAAACTGATGATATTTTTTGCAATAAACAAAACATTGATATAACTATGGAAACTATAAACTTTTTTATCTTTGTTTATATCAGAATATGATACATAGCCCTTAGTTGTATAAGGGGCATTCCACTCCAAATCGACCACTTTTAACCCTAATCCTTTTCGATTTGGCTGAAACTTTTTTATTGTTTTCTACCCCACTGAAAACCTCTGAGAATTTTTTCTAATTTTTTCATTCAACTTAAAAAAGTTATGAATTTTTGAAAAAAATAGCTTTTTTTAAAATAACCATAACCTTTTCAAAAATTGAGTTATCGGGACGTTTTTTTAAAAAAATTTTTGTTTTTAAATGTACTTTTTGAAAAAAAAATAGATCAAATGTTTTTTTTTCAATTTTTGGAAAAAAAACAAAATTTCTCGATTACCATTTTTGATTTTTTATTTATAAAAAACTAAATTTTTTATAAATCCTCAAATTCTTTCAGTGGTGTTTTTTCGTTTTCTATATTTTTTTATTGATAATAAAAAAAATTTAGCTTATTTCACCACCATTTTGAAAATTTTTGAAAATGTATAGAATCTCAAAATTGAAAAAATTTACTATATGCAGCGACTGATTTCAAAAAGTCAAAAGAGGATGGTTTCAAAATGACTTACTTCAGCTCAAATGCGTTGCAAGTCTTTTTTTAAAGACCACTCTTTGTCCAAAAATGGACCAAATAACAACTTTTTTTCCATTTTCTTCGATTTTGGATAGTTTTCTATTTTTATCTTAACTTTTTCAAAAAAATTTAAATTTTTTTCATGTTTACCACTTTCAATTATTTCTTTCATATATATTTTTTTTCAATTTTGGGATTCTATATACATTTTCAAAAATTTTCAAAATGGTATGTGAAATAAGCTAAATTTGAAAAAAAAATTGAGGATTTATAAAAAATGTCAGTTTTTTATAAGAAAAAAAAAAAAATTCAAAAATGGTAATTATCGAGAAATTATTAAAATTAAAATTAAAAAAAAAGATAGGTCCAGATAATTTTGATCTATTTTTTTTTTCAAAAAGTACAATTAAAATCAAAAATTTTGAAAAAAAACCGTCCCGATAACTCAATTTTTGAAAAATTATTATTATTTTACAAAAAAAGTTATTTTTTTCAAAAATTCATAATTTTTTTAGAGTTGGGTGAAAAAATTTGAAAAAATTCTCAGAGGTTTTCAATGGTGCAGAAAACAATAAAAACGTTTCAGCCAAATCAAAAGGGGTCTATTGCCTAATTTTGCGCACCCTGTACATTACACTGAAATCATATCTTTGCCAAAAACGTCCTCTGAGGACAAAACAAAGCAATCGTTCTGTAGGGCACAGTTTGTTGTTAAATTACCATCTCCTTATATTTACCTCCTATAAATTTGGCTCACATATCCGTCTCATCGCATTACGAATGAAGATTAGACGACATAAAGGATACGCGGTGGCCCCACGGGACGCGGAAACCCACCCGATAACCCCATTTACTCGGAGGGAGGACTCAATTTTCCAGGGCCACCTTACAGACCGCTTTCTGACGTCTGCTTCTAATCGGCAATAATCCGCGGTCGGCTTATTCTTGGCGACTTAATACGGGCTCTCCTTCCCGTTCATTAATATTAACCAGCCAGGGAAAAGCGGCGTTGCCAGATTCCTACCTAGAGCGAAGGCAGCGGTACACAACTATAGGATCAATCTCTAGGTAGCGGACAATTAATGTTCCGTGTGTTGTAATGCACAGGAGACGTTGAAAAATATGTGCCGCTTTCATTAAATGATGACACCTAAGATTTCACTCTAATTTTTATCGAATATCATTTCCAAAGTGCAAAATTTATAAATTCGTCTTCGATATTTTTCAAGCTTGCGATTACCAACGTCTACTTTTCTTATTTCACTTTACCGGTAAGTTAATTTCCATTCCCATTAATGAGACGTCGATTAAAATCATTACAATGCCACCAGTATTTCTTGACCTGTCACGCATTAGCTATGCAAATCATTGCAGCGTGCAGATGTTGCATTAAGAATGCGGTACACCTTTCCCCCTGAATATTTATCTTTCCGGTGAACGCGGACGATAACACCCGTATTTATCGCCAACATTCGAAATACTTTCCCTCCAGATTTTGCGAAACGGCGACGAAAAAACGCTCCGTACGCGCATAAATCAAGTCGGCGTAGATACGTCTACGTCCCTCACTTGTTTTGCAATTGCTTCCAGCTAGAATCGCCAGCCGGGACACTGGGCGTTGGGCGCAGCATTGCACGCTATAATTTTTTTGTTTTTCAAAATATCAAGTAGATTCCTAGCCTACGCCGAGAGATAACCTAAATTGTATAATGAGCTGGTAACTGCAAGCACCTGCTATTTGTTTGTCTGTGGGATAGATATATTTTGTATATTTTGTAGGTAGAAAGTAAAACAAGCTCAAGAAACACACAAAACATTTAAAAATTAAAATGATTGGGGAGGAATTCTAAAAGATCGTTCGGAAAGTTTGTACGGAGTCTGTACGTTCGTGGTTGGGTTATTTTTTTATTTTCAAGGTCATTTGAAAGTATAATAGCCCTCTTGAACTTCCCGGGTTGGTATCACACTAGCATAGCGGGATGTTGGGAAAGTCACATCTATAAAGCCAGTTTGAGCCATCGGGGACCACCACCTGATGACCTTGAAAGTCATTTGAATAAAAATCACTAGAATCGGCTGATAGCGAGGTTTTGAGGGCATAAAAATAGCAACGATAGACTTTTCTTTAAAAAAACAACGTTGATCTTGAAATGACCTTGATAATGGCCTTCAAGGTCAAATCAAAGGTCACTAGATGGTACTCCCTAATGACCCATATAACTTTTGTAAAGGTGTCTTTCCCGATGTCTCCTATCCTGACGAGCTTCCGACCTGAGAAGTTTGAGAGGTACATTTGACCTTAAAATAACCTTGAAATTGAAAAAATAACTCGGAATCCGGGGTCAGCATTGTGTCACTGTCAAAAAACAAGAGTTGACCTTCAAATAACCTTAACCATGACCTTAAAAAATGTATCGACCACGTATCAAAGCCCTTTCAGAATTTGGGGACAAATATTGTATGGGACCCCAAAAATGTATGGTCTAGTATATCACACATTTATTTTTTCTGTACAACTTGATCGTTGATGTTATACTTCTATTACGCGCGATAATACACATATTTTTTAGCCGCTCTGACATTTTCATTCCATGACGGTTATAAAAGCGTTGTTTATCAGCGACTCGAGCTACAGAAATTTCGCTGCAATACCGGCCTAAGTACGTCCCCCCGATCAGATGCGACACGCCAAGTGGCGCATTTCTAGATGCAATCTAGTCGGCGAACACGAACTAAAATATAATTTTTACGTTCCCGTACAGAAACCGAGCGGAATTTTCCGTTTGCCACGCAATTTTCTCGATAGCCGTACGCAAAGTTGAAATGCCTCGATTGTGTCAGGTTAAACGGGGTCGTTTTAATATGCCCAGATGACCTCCGCGGATAAGAAACACATTCGTTCTTGGTATTTTGAAATGCGTATTCAGAATGCAAATGAGAATCGAGACTAATTCTCATGCATATGCACAACCGCATTATTTACTCGAACAAATGGTCCCCATACCACCGATGATGATGGAGGTAATGATACGAAACGTAAAACGTAACGCTTTATGAAGAGAGCTTGAGAAAAGTGTTAGTAGATTATATCCTTGTCATCATTATTTACTCTAACGACATACAAAGAATCGTTAGTACATTTTTGGCATTTATTTTATCTGTTTCGTATTATAAAATAACCGATTTTGACAACATTTATCTTTCCTTTTTCGAGCGAGGGTGTCCTCCATTAACTTTTTGTTGGTTTTGTTGCAGGAGAGATGTCCTGAGCGGAGTTTTACTTACGAGGAGCCATCCTCGTCAAGTAAACGAGCATGAGGAAGCTGTGCGAGACCCACTTGGTGTATATCCTGCTGCTTTACGTGCATCTCGACGAGGCAGTTGATCCCTGTAAGTATCATTTCGAGGTTTATTAAATGTGCTCTCCTAGTGGCGCGTTACTTAGCTCGTGCACCGCATAAATTTCACCTAGCAGGTCTCTGGAGGGCTCTTTCCGCGGAAATATTAATAAGGTGCATTGTAATCCATTACTGAATGTATCAGATGCAGTTCTGTGTGCAGCGCGTCGTCACGGTTTACGTTACTTTACTTATTATCCTCTGATATTATGCTTTTATTTCAGTAATCGCCGAATTAACTCTTTAGTTCGACGAACCGAGTTATTAGTTCGTTAAGTCTGCATTGAGAACACTGCTAATCTCCATTCATACAAATATCCGCTCCTCGGAACATTTTCCCGGAGCGTATCGAGCTCTGTCGATTAGAATTCAGGGGATTTACCGCTCGATTTAACTTAATTTTTAATAATTGTTTGCGGAGCGTGATGGATAGTGCGGTACTACATCCGTAGGGATAATCCTCACTGATTGCAGCTGTTTGTAATTATGGGAGATTACCACGTCACTCCTGCATCAGATCACAGAGTCCTGTATTTGTTGTTGGCCAGTTCGGGAGTAGATAATAGTTCGACAATGGTCAGTGTACGTAGACACTGAATATGCGCGAATGCCGTTTGGTCTAAAAAATGCGCCAGCTACATTCGAGAGATGCATGGACATTGTATTAAAGGGACTACAGAAAGGGATATTTTATTTACTATAACTTTTGAAGGACCCTAATACTTTCTCTGGAAAATTAACAGTCAATTTATATATAAAAAATAACTTCCAGGCATTTTAATTTTCCCATTTTAAATACATTTTACCTTTGTTCGCATGATTTTTCGACGTATTTGAAAACACAAGACCATTGTATTTTGCTCAACCTAGCAACTAGCACGAGAATTTTAAACATGCCAGAGTGTTGTAACATGTTATTACCTGAAAAATTTTATGCATGTCGGTTCAAGATACAAATCGAATGCCCATAGTGTTCACTTTTAAAGTCATGCATGTATGAACTGGTCCCTTATTACTGTTGCATTATAAACTCACGCATATACAGTGGAAGTTTTTGCTAAAATCTCTTTTATTTTACAATTATTAACATGATCAGTCCTAATAACGATCGGTATTTTAGTATGAGGCGTTAAGATTTATTGCCAAGTTACTAGTGACTGAGTTTTAAATATGTTATCCACTTATGCCTCTGTTTCAGCGCAATGCATAGCTCCTTTGGGAATGGAGAACGGCGCCATCAAGGACGCTGACATAACGGCAAGCTCCTCGTTCGACAGCGGCAACGTGGGACCTCATCACGGACGGTGAGTGACGGTCATATTTTTTTTACGGTTGCCAGAACGAATTAACATAATTCCAAAAAATAACTCAGTCTGGCTTGTTATGTATATTGTGAACATAAATATTTGACGATGTTTCGAAAACCTGATTATTTCGCAATGACAATTTTTAACGATGTTTCGAAAAACTGATTTAACCCACAGATTTACTACCAACTGGTGCCGTAATTCCGTGAGCTCACGCGGAAGCCGCCACTGTCGGTGGGAGTATCGGTCTGAGCAGTTCCCAGACCGCTTACAAACCACCTGAAACAGCCATAAAATACTACGGCGGACCGCAACTGACGGCGCTACAACCAGGTAATATATACGGAGGCCCAACGCATCGATCCGGCGCGGTTTCGAGGAAGAGTTTCAATTCCTAATGACGCCGGCCGAATTCGGGATGTGGGGCGGGTGAATTTTTTAAGGCGGCAGCGGCGGAGACTGTTGGCGGAATTTACTGCCGACTTAAAAGTTTGTCAGCATATCTGCAACAATGTTTAAAACGATAAAAATGATATTATGAGGTAAAAAAATCATATTCGATAGAGAAGGGGCGGAGTATTAATATTTATTTGTTGAGTGTCGGATATTTATATACAGGTGAGAGTCAATTGGACTGGTTTTGACTGTATAATCTCGTCATATTTAAAAAGGCCAGGTAAAATAGTTTTATTCGCTAGTTTTTTCTTGTGATCTGAAAGAAATACATGAAAACAATTGAATAAAAATACTGCTTCAACAATAGTCAACGGTATCCATTGCGCCGGTCCAGTAAATGAACCAAAATTTTGCACAAACAACACAAAGAATAAAGTGCTACTTAGATGTGTCGACATATTTTTTACTGTAAAGATTTACTGTACTCTACAGCAGTTCAAAATTGTTCTCATTTAAATCTCATCTTTCGACAGTGTTCAAAAATCTAAATTCATAGTGTTCAACATCTAGTTAAAATATTTCCTCGTGTCGAATTCCGCGAGAATTCATCCCAGTACGGACCTGCGTGGGGTGGCGAACGCGGACCGAGGTGTCAGAATAATAATCTTATAAATATGAAATGTTCAGCGAATGCGGAAAAATAATCAAAAAAGTAAATGGGAAAGGGTGCGGAAACTTCGAGGGCGATATTTGGAGAAAATACATGGCAGCGTTATGAAAATAGGAAGAACATTATGCGTGGAAAGCTGGAGAGAAAGGTACGCGGAGCGAGAAGCGCGTTTTCAAATTCAGGGAAGCGAAAACGTTCCTGTATTATATTAGAGGCGGATCGGATTGATGCCGGGACCTTGAACATTGTTTCTTTCTAATACCTTTGCTCGTGAAAGCCTTTTATGCTAAAGGATTTTGAATAAATTCGGGCTTGAGGAATATTTTAAGTTGTATTGATGAAAAACATGAAGCGGTTCTACGGCGATCATTTGAAAAACACTTTTTTGAAGGAAATGTTTGATTTTCGCAAGATATAGTGTCAAAAATATTTCTATCCGTTTAATAGTAATACATAAATGCAGATTAGGGAGAAGGGCGACTGTAATTGGCTTCAACGGAAACTACAGAACTGCTGTCATCTTGCGGGAGTAATTTAGACTAACTTAGTTGTTTTGAAGGTGCCTAGATGGTATCGACATGGTAAAAATATAGCATCTGGCAATATTTCAGATTCCTCACTAACCCAAACACACAAAATTTTCATGCTGTCATACATTTTTCCTAAATAAAACCTAGAGTTTGTACCATCCTTGTCTTTTGTCGCTATAAACGAAACTGAATGATGTGATGCTATTCTTTAAAAGATTCCCGACTCGTTCTTCAGCCCTATCATTAATATTATCCTGACAGCATCGGAATGTAAAAATCCAACTGATCGCTTACTTGAGGAACGCCATAGTTTTCCCAACGCACAGCACAGTCAAAGCAGAGAAATTTTCCTGCTTTTCCCCGCTTTAAAGATGCTCTCTGGGGCGCGCCTTTCCATTATTCATCCACTCCACTCCTACATGGGAATCATTTCGCAGCCGCGGGTTCTTCATCGGATTAAATATTTGTGTTTTACTACGGTTCATCTCGCAAAGATAAAACTAGGTTAGTAGGGACGTGCTCCAAATTAGCCCCTTAGTTATTCTTTAGGTTGTTCTCTGGGCAAATATGTAAAATGCACTATACAGGGTGTGGCGTACATAATCTATAAAAATTAAACTACAGCTTCCTAACGATATTTGTAGTAGAAAAAGTTTTATATTTGCGTTTTTTTTTTTTCATAAATTAAAGTTCAATTATGGATCAAAATATTTTCTCTAGAACACAATTCGAGTGTAAAATCTATTGAACTGGTTGCTGATAATAGGGGTGCAACAGCTGGCGGCTTAAGATGCGATGTACGGTACGAGATGAGGTTCCTACTTGCTGTGCGAGTCGTCGAGTACTAATTGTGGGGTCTTCGTTAAGATTTTCCAACACTGCATCTTCAACAGTAAGGTTCACTTGCTGACCACGTCCTTCTCCTTGAGGAATAACACTTCCCGTATCTCGCAGCCGCTGAACGCACTGTAGGATTGAATTTGCACATGCACCCCCCTTCTTCTACTTAGATTATTCTTTCTTTATATGATTTGGGGTATAGCTTCCTATTTTCGTTAACTGTGTTCTATTTTTGAACCAATTTATTACACCAAAGGAGTATGTAAGGGCGTTTTTTTGTAATAATTTGGTCCCTCGAACTGTGCACTCTAAAAATCCTCTGGAAAAATAGTTGGACGACGAAGAGACTTCACCGACAATGCCAATCAGCCGTTCGGCAAAAATCCGCCAAAACGCGTTCCTCCGAGCATAACGAAATTACCCGACTCGGGCAAACAAAGGACCGGCGCCGCGTCCCACTCAATTACCAAATTGGAGCGATTGAATCATTTTCTGGCGGCCACAAAACGCGCTGATTGATCGCGCCGTTAATGCATATTGGAATTCTTGGCATATTCGGGACCAGTTCTCCACAATGCAGGCAACAATTAACGCGATATTAAAGTCCGCCCCCTCCCCCTCTCCGCTTCGCACAGTAGCAAACTTTGCCCTGCGGGGCTGACAACTAAAATATGAAGATACTCCGGTGCACCTGGGTGCTCCGCAAAGACCGATTTAGGTGATTCTACGGCTCGGTCTCGAACAAACTCGAGATGTGTAATTAGGCCCTAAGTTTCGAGATCGGATAACTCGGGAGTTGGTTTATTCGGCGGATGTGATGGTTGTTTGATGATACGCTCCTTGCAAGGCTTTGCTGAAAGTCACGGTGTGATGCGGAGTAATATTTTATACATAATTATGCGAGGAAATAGAGAGTAGTGTTCAAAAATTTTATTAAACTTATAGTCAAGCGTTTCCGGTTACTCAAGCCATCGTCAATGTAATAACCTACCGACGAGAGGAAACATTTGGCAATTTGACACAATATACACACTGTTTTGTAACGAATGGGACATACTAGAATCAAAAAAGTTTTTGGTCTTCACAGTATGTGATTCCTGATATTAAACCTTGGCTCTTTATACTTTTCCACGAATAAAACGTATGCTTAGTTGATATCTTTGGAAAAAAGGGGTTTCACTTTGCAATGCAAGTAAAAACTAACCCAAAAAGATCAAGTTGTCTGCCTTAGGCTTCCTAAAGAAGAGTTTTATTATCAACAGTTTGCAGTTCCAAAGATTTAGCTTCTTCAAAATCTCGTTTTTAATAATAATAACCCCAAAGTAAATGAGGCATATTTAATAGAAATGCCTAATAACAGCTTATTTACCAATAATGAAATGACGGATATGATTTTTGTTTATTCTCAACATAATTAGTCGCATTTACATGACGGATTCCCCTTTCATTATCCGATAGATGTTCGGAACCACCGGATATGAACAAATTATGAAAACGTTGGAATTAAATATTTTATTGGAAAGCATTACAAATGTCATCATAATTACAACAAAATTACGGAAAATATCATTAACGTTGCTTTATTAACATTACAGAAACTTTTATATTATGTCTCTGTGTACTGAATCACTATCAGGATCGAAATTAAAAATTAATTCTGTTTGTATTGTAACGTGATATACTTCCATTACGCTTTGACTGATAAAACATCATAAAATACATAAAATATCTAATGACGCAAAACAAATCTACTACATTATGGATATGTTTCAATATTATCTACCGATAATCAAAATATTGTCATTTAGATATAATTATTTATGTATTAGGACTATACCACACATTTACTTTTGAAATAATGCAATGAAACATAAAAATGTCAGTCAAACCAAGCATTAGATATTATTATCTGATCAAAAATACAGTACGAGAAAGTAAATTACTCTGAAATAATAATATAGTAAGAGGAGCTAGTCACTTTCTTACTTGTAATAAATCTAATAACAATAAATTAAACTAAGCTCCTGCTATGCACCCTAAAGGCGATCATTTATTCAGGAACTTAGAAAAAAAAATAACGGTGTCCGTTTACCAGCCTGCTGTAATTTGTCGACGGAAATACAGAAATTAAAGGCAACACATGTGTCAGTTTCCTTCTTGTCCATTAAAATTCATTACCTCTGAATGGCATACCGTAGCTCTCTGCCTCAAATTATAGATGTAGATGTGGGTAGAATTAGAAATTACAGTTATAGAACTGTATCATTTGATGTCCACTTTTTTGTAATACAGTAAGTGATTAAAATAAACGTTATTGTCCAGTTTTTATTTCAAAATTGTTCGGTATTTTATAGAGGCCAGGAACGATGAAAATTTGTTTCAAGACTTCTACGGATCGATTCGAAACTTTGGTAAAATAATAATTTGTTTCAAGACTTCTACGGATCGATTCGAAACTTTAGTAAAATATTCAATGACAATTACATTTCTGTAACCTTTTATGGAACTTAATCTTTAAAGTAACCAACGGCGTATCTTCCGTAGGACTTATTACCCGTTACTGTTCAGAGGTTCAATAATTCACTCGGCAAGTAGGGCGGCATAATTTTAGAATCGAGCAGTTTAAAATTAATGTTCGTCATTAGTTCCACTGTATTATTAATAAGACGGGGTGGAGGAGTTCATCAGGAATTATGGATGTGCCAGACGCCTCGCTTTAATATTCGAGTTGTATGTATGTGTGTTTTGGTTGCCTGCGGGTTTTTGTCGCAAAATATGTTCAGGAAAATAAACAGCACGTGAATGTATCTTTAGGACAATAATAAATAAGTTTTATCCACAATCATATCCACACATATGAACCGTTTAAAGTGATCTGAGTGATCTGAGTGATCTGAAGTGATCCACTGAACTGCCAAGGTTTCGAAATATTACTTATAGTTGACCTAATAAGTCGCAGGCAGCTAACTGTTTTTTAGGAAATACAATCCTGCGACACATAATCATTTTCTTAATACATGAACGGATCGTATTCATTTTTATAAAAGCCCCAACGCCTACTATAGTCTGTTTAGAAATGAAAGAGAGTAATTAAAGCTCATTATGTATGCAAATCGTAAATAAATGTAGTACTGGTATATTCAATATTTTTATATTATGTATTATCGGTATAGATGAGGTGTACTTTTAAAAAAACTTTGTGTGACCGGGTTGTACTAAATTGTAGTAGGTAGCTAAAATTTAATCCCCGACAATCCGTCTTTGTCTATGCCGCTTCAATTTCTCGGTCTGCCGTGAATGGTAACTAGCATTATCCATGACAATTACAGACCCCGGAGGAATAAGATCCAACATCTGTGTAAAATACTCTTCGAAAACATCTGCGTTCATATTCAAATAAAAATAAACCCCCATCTATAAAACCACTGGCACTACCTATATGTGTCACTATTAATATTCGCCCTTTACCTGAAGGTGCCTTGAACCCTGTTGAAAGTCCATCCAAAAATGCTTGTCGAAAACTTTTTGTATTTTTATCTTGCCATACTTTTGTTACAGTATATCCCTCGTTGACCCAAGTTTCGTCTAGATAATAAATATTCCTCCCTTCGTCACGGAATTTTCTAATTGATCTTAAGTAGGATCTTCGCCAACAAATAATTTCATCTTTATCGATAAGAACTGACTTCCTGTTCTGCTTTTCCCAGCAAAAATTCAACTCTCGTAAGACGGCCCATAATTTGCTTCTACTGATTTTTGGCAGATCGTTGTCCTCTGAAAGTTCACTTAAAATTTTGTTTAGCGTTGGTATTTCTTTTTTAAAATAAAATGAGTGTACTTTAGTCACTAAACACAAGTCGAATTTTACTCCACTGCACTAGCACGTCTTCGTATATTCAGCTCTAAGACTGGATCGATCTGTCACAATACACTGGCTCCTGCCCTATGATGTATCCAGAAAAATATACTAATGTACACCCATTACCTGTTAGCATTAGTGTTACCCGATAATTACCTGAAACGAAATATTACCACGCCCATGGCCAGTTCCTATCTCGGGGTTTTATTACTCTCTTTCATTTCCAAACAGACTATAGCCCTCATTGAAATTAAATTGCGCCCGAAAAAATATACCTTTCTTCGGCTTCCGCTGCTGCGTATAGTTTCGACGCAAGCGATCAGCTCCTACCCGGTATGGGTGTATTATATTTGAGGCCCCTTTGTGTGGTGATAAATTGAATGGAAGTAAAATGTAGAAATGTCCTTTGTTGAGACGTCGTTTCAGCACTGGCTCAATTCCATATAAATCATTAGAGGTATTAAATTTCCTATTAAGGACATCTCTTACATCTTGTGTAACACGCTTCCGACAAGAGGCTTATACGGGGTGGCTATTTTAACCGATACAGATGCACGGTGAAAAAAAAAGAGAACAATTATGTTCTATACGTGTGTGTGTGTTACAAATTGTTAATTGTACATATTGTCTTAACACAACTAATTGTGCGACACGCAAAAAAAACGACCACCGAAACAAAAACAGAGCAGGATCCATCCCTAATAAAATGTATAAACAATTTACCGGAGTTGAAACTCTCGACGTGGCAAAATTATATTTCCCGCATATGGCTTTATAAACTTGTCACATTCTGGAAGTGACTGGGGCGACAGCCTATTTATTATTTCATAGACCTTCCTTCATGTCGGCTGTCAAATTAGGGATAATTGGATTCGTTCGATGAGACCGGCGAACGCCAAACTGGAATATTTAAATTAAAAATTAGCAGGGGGATTAAAGGCCAGACGGGGAATCGGTGGCAGTTCCATGTTGGTACGAAAGGTAGACAGATTTGATGTTAGCGAACTGAATCATAAAACACCGTCCACGATTTTTAGCTCAGTTTCAGTTTAAAATATTCAAGGTAATAATTCACGTGCTTGCCTTTGGAAGGCTTTTAACTCGCTTTGCTTCCAAACAGTATAACAACCCGTAAATATTCCCTTCTTCTTCCACCTGCCCTTTCACCGAGACACTTCGGAGTCGAGAGCCGCCTCCGAGAAGCAGAGTTAAACTTTTCGAGTAGTTTTATTCGATAAGTGAAAAAGTTCCGTGGAGTATCTCACTCGACTCCCCTCCCTGACGTTGAAAAATAAAATTAAAAACTCCCTAACTCAATCAATATCTCCTGAAATATAATTTCCGAACTAAACAAATACGCCGAAGTTGAATAAGTTGCCCTTAATTCCGAGGGGGAAATTCCATCAGGAGTCGCGCTATTGCTTCACGTATATGAAAGAAAGGCTAAAGAAATTGTAATATAACATTTTTAGCTTGTCTCCCCCAGAGTCAATCATCTCATAATTTTTTTCAGGGTGAGGACGGACAAAAACGGTGGCGCGTGGTGTCCCCAGAAGCAGGCGACCACTGAGCCCGAGGAGTGGATCCAGGTGGACCTGAAGACGGTGCACATGATCACGGCGACGGAGACGCAAGGCAGATTTGGTAACGGACAGGGGATCGAGTATGCTGAAGCGTACATGCTGGAATATTGGAGGCCCAGGTTGCAGACCTGGATGAGATACCACAACAGTAAAGGAGAAGAGGTAATGAATAATTAAATAAAAACAGGGGATTGTATGGTTTAATTTTATAAAACAAAAGCAGAGTAAATACACCTAACTTTATTATTTACGTAACAGTCTTCAAATTGAACATGTGCTCCTGTGGGGAAAGAGCATGGCAGAGAAACCCACGATCGTTGCTCTTACCACCCAAATAAAAATACAAAACAACCGCTAACCAAAGGTATAAATTAAGATCCTTTGCTAATTATAAATAAGACCTGTCACATTTAATGTGTCACTAAATGTCCTCTCACTCATATTAGTCATACACACTTCCAAGTAAAACTGAAGAGGTTTGGTGTTAGTTAGCTGGCAACAAGGCTCGTCTATATGTCTATACGTATGACATAAAGTGAGCACAAGAAATCAAACAACAACGTAATCATGATGAAACAAGTTAAATGTGAAACAAAGAAGTCGTTATTGCAATATCTGGGCAGTCACGGCAATATACATATTTTAACATGTAATAAATAATGAGCAATCTTTAATAATAATTGTAACAATTTTATTTTAAAGAAATATACGCCCCTTAGCGTAAGGCAGTGAAGGCTAAACATACATAGAATTATTATTATGTAACATCTATGTTTTTCGAACAATGTAATCATGCCAAAAACAAGTTAGATGTGAAACAAACAAGTCGTTATTGTAATGTCTGGCAGTCACGACAATATATATATACATATTTTAACGAGAAATAAATAATGAGCAATCGTTAATAATAATTATAACAATTTTACCTTAGAAAAATATATGCCCTTGAGCATAAAGCAATGGAAGCTAAACATACAAAGAATTATTATCATGAAACATCTATAACCATCACAATCATAACAATATGATTAAACATAGAACAATTAACAACAAAGTACTTAAAGAATATTACCTGGTAACTAATACCGGTTAAATACTTAATTTTCCACTACTTCTATATTTTTCACACTACACTGATCGTCTGCTTATCTTCAACTCTTTAGGCTTCCTTCCAGAATTCCCCACCTAGGCGTTTGCTTTTTTGCGCTTCATTCTACCAACTGTTAATATTACTTTTTCATTATTATACAACACCCGTGTAATAGGTGACGTCGAAGTTGATAAGATAAGTATGGTTTTCCACAAACTGCAACTTTATTATTCAAAACATACTGAAATCAAATGAGTATGAACTCCAGTTCTTCAAACTTAATGGAATATTCAGGACTTTGTGAGCATTCACCGATTTGAACAGGCTCTAGTTTGTTTACCAACCATACTTCCTGGACCAAGAAAGTTCAGAACTATTAATCGATCAAAGACCTATGAATATTTTGCTTAATAAACACCGCCCGGGTTTTTTGCTTCCTATCGCGTTTTTTTTAAGAATTCTACTTTCCCAGAGCATAAAATCTGTCAAAAAATTAGCGGGGCAAGGCCTCAAAGAAATCGGCTTTAATTAGGGAAATTTTCATGACCACTTAAAACTACATCAACTCGCTGCAAAAACAGACGCTAGTCAAAGAGCGGTATCCGGTGTCCTGAAAGGTTTTCAGCCGCTTTCAGCGTTATTTCTGGTACGCGCGCAATTACTAATAATAACATGACATCTATCGCGGCCATGTGGCCTACCGAAATAAACGGGCATGCACATATGATCGCAGTTTTAGTAATTGCCCCACCTTACCAATAAATTCATTCTAAAGTGGAATCTCGATTATTAAGCTCTTTGTGCCGGATATCCCTTTGATGTGGCCAGCGTTGAGCGGTAATGGAATCTACGTTTACAAGTTCAAATCGTAAATCATCCCGGTCTTGTGGCTCCGCATATTCCATAAATAAGTCATTTATATCCCGGACTTGCAACTTTTTAAATGAACCTTCACCATCCACAATCACGCAAACATCGTTCTATGACCAAAACTGATCCATATGCGTTATACTGTGATTCTACGTTGATGTAAACGAAGACAAAATATATAAAAAGTGAAAAGAACGCATCGTACGCCACAACAACCGCAATCTAGAAGTACAACCAGTTCGGGATCGACTTTTCCGACAACAATGACGATCACGCGTCGACGGAGCGGAAAGAAATATTACGCATTCGCTATAAAATTTCTCATTAAGCTTAAGTAGTTGAAATTTGCTATTCCGAGATATCGGCTTAATTTATTTAATGGCCCTAACGGCGACAATGAACTCTTGGAGAAGGAAATATTAATTTAACTTTCTTCATTTAATCCCATTGCTTAATCGTTCGGGCAGGCCTGATCGTTTAATTGTGTTATTGGAATATTTGCCGGATCTCTTTCCGCTATACGTCTCCGGGCACTAAATTATACGACGGGCGTCTCAGCGCGGATTGCGGCTATTTACGGCCTTTTCTTCGTTATTTGTTGTATTAATTAATAAGCGCGTAGCAGTCTACAATCAAATCCACATGGCTGCAAAGCAGAATCAAGATTTAATTCGATATTGCTGTGTATATTTCTTTGAGAAAGAAAATTTCGCAAAACCATTTTTTCCTAGATAGAAAATATATATACAGTGTGTCCCACTTAATCATTAGCCACCCATGTAAAATTGTTATTTATTGACCGATTTGTTTCAACTTTTTTTTGTTTGATAGATCTCAATAATACATACACAATACACATATATACACAATTTTCAAATAATGCATGTGTTTCGTAAATAAATCTTCAGTTGGTTTAAAAAATTAAGGTTTAATTTTCTGCAACACCCTGTATTCTATCACAACAAAAATTGGTATAGGAGGGTTTTAGATAGTCCCGAATAAGAATCCGTTGCAGTTTTTGTCGAAAAAAAATCGCTAATATTGTTTCTCGTTTTTTCTTCCTATAAAACGCGCCTCAGTTGGCTATGGCTTAGATCACGAGAATACCGAAATTATACATTCTACTCCTTTTTCTGAGATCTATCAAACAAAAAAAAGTTGAAATAAATCGGTCAACAAATTTTACATGGGTGGCTAATGCTTAAGTGGGACACACTGTACATATATGGGGCGATGGAATATGATTGACAATATTGATAACGATAATGTCTATGATTTTAAATTCATAGCCACAGAAAAAAAAGTTGTCTGTACTGTTCATGCGACATATCCGTAATACTTGAATATCCTAACCTCAAAAAAAAACAGGTCAAAAATAGTAAAAATTCACGAAAAAGTGCTAGAAAAAATTTAAAAAAAATATTTTTCTTTATTCAAATGTTCATTTATGAAGTTAAGACCTCACTGAAATTGAATCTGCGGTCAGAATTGATGGTTCTTTTTCTAACCTCAAAAAAACGGGTCAATTAAGGTCAGATATCACGAATTTTCAAAAAATAACACATTCCCGCCAAATTTGGTATACGGGGGGTTTTCGAGGTCGCTGATCACGGATCGGAGGTCAATTTTGCAAAATTCAAGACGGCGGATTCAAGATGGCCGACCAAATTTTCAAAAAATAACACATTCGCGCCAAATTTGATATAAAGGGGTTTTCGTGGTCGCTGATCATGAATTCGAAGTTAATTTTTGCAAAATTCAAGATGGCGGATCCAAGATGGCCGACCAAATTTTCAAAAAATAACACATTCGCGCCAAATTTGATATACCTACGGGGGTTTTCGGGGTCACTGATTACGAACCCGAGATCAGATTTCAAAAATTCGTTTTTAAAAATTTAATCAATTACCTATGTATGTACTTTATGGGGGTAGGCAGAAAACCCATGAATAGATCTTTTACAGAAAAAAAAAATATATATATAACCGAAAAAAATAAGGTTAAAACATGATTGGACTCAGGTTATAAAGTAAACAAAACTATTACAAAATGAATTTCGCAATTCTAACCTCGAATTCGTAATCAGCTCCCCGAAAACCCGCGTATAAAAAATTTGGCGCGAATCTGTTATTCTTTGAAAATTTGGTCGGCCATCTTGGATCCGCCATCTTGAATTTTGCAGAATTGACCTCGGATCCGTGATCAGCGACCCCGAAAACCCCCATATACCAAATTCGTGAATCTGACCTTAATTAACCCGTTTTTTTTTTTTTTTGAGGTTAGAAAGAGAACCATCAATTCTGACCCCGGATTCACGTCACAGAAAAAAAATTGCTTGTATTTTTCCTAGCACTTTTTCGTGAATTTTTGACATTTTATACCTGTTTTTTGAGGTTAGGAAATTCCTGTGACGTGATAGCTCAATTCTGACACCGTGATCAGGAGGCAAAAGTACTACGGATAACATATGTCGCATGAAAAGTACAGACAACTTTTTTTTGCATGGTTGTGATTATTTACTGGTATCATAGTTTCAGTTTTTTCTGTTTATTTAGATATTTTTCCATCTAAGAACAAAATATTTTAAAATAAAACCTTACGCTAACTCTTCATTTGGGTTTTCTAAAGTACTATCCGACATCATCCGTTATTGCTTCATCACTGTTTTTACAATTTTTATTTTCCTAATCGCAACCGAACGCAAATATTTGTACATACCGACAAGTGTGCTCCTCAAAAACCTCTCTAAATCCTAAATTATCAACTGCGCTAACCCGCGGAGGCCTGTAATTGTTTGTCATTCCCGACGCCATGACCCAAGGGTTATAAAAAAAAATCATGTTTGCTCTTTAACGGCCCATCCCGATTATGTCACGCTTGTTTTGAACCGCCCTTAAATCAGATAAATTGGTAATAAATTCCGAATAATTAAAAGGAGGAATTTAAATGATTTGAATTGGAAGTCAAGAGTGCTCGGGCGCGAACAAATAGGTTCAAGTGGGTCGTTTGGTGGCGCGTATGTGTGCTTTCGCGCAGGGGCGTACCTGGGATGAATTGGTGAGGGGCTAAAACCAATATTAAGGACTCGCCGAAGCTTTTCCTCTGATATTATGCGCACAAATTCAGTAGGCCTTGCAAACCTCATTCGAATAATGCACACCTCGTACTAAGCATGCACAGTAATGGCTGAGACTGTTCTATT